TGCAATGTATAAATGCTATGATGTATATAGATCAATATATCAGTATTAATTTTTTCAGCTTGAAAGGTTATACGTTAACATAGTGAAAAATTGGCAGATAATAGAAAATAAAGATGAACGTAAAGTACTGATTAACTATTCTGAAAAGGGAAGAACAATCACAATTTTTTATATAGGTGGGACATATTTTTATAAACCTTTCCTTTTTTATAAGGTAAGTCTATCTCATTTAATGCTATCAAGATTTTAAAACGAGTATAACTTTTTAATATAAACGAACGTTCCAACGTGCGAATCCTTCAAAGTTTAGATCTTTACCTTTTTAAATGAATCCACGTAGTATCAACTTGATTTGATAACATCAAATTCGAGTTCGTGTATTTTGAAGCAAACTACTTTTTTCGATGTATGAAAGTGAGTGTACCTCATAAAGTTACTTTGGCAAAAGAGTGTTTTAGATGCTTGAAATAACGTGCAATGTCGATGAATAAGTTTTGATATCAACATTTATTATAAATGGATACTATTTTTATATCATAAACGAAGATCCTTCCATTTCCTTTTTAACGAATTTTGATTCATTAACTTTTATATTCTACAATTTATATAAATAAATGCTAAGCCGTAAAGAAAGAAATGTACCTGAAATTATTATCTATTTACGATAATAATATACTTATTAAGATTGGTCATGAGTTCAAAAAATTGTCGATGAATGCTTTAAAAAGAGCAAAAAGCGATGAATCAAATAGTATATCAGAGTTTTTATATTAAAAATATTAGGCGAAAACTTAAATGACATAGTAGCCTACGGCAGATAAAACATATCTTTTGCCAAATGAACATTTGCAAATTGCATTACTTAACAGTATTAACAAAATGACACAAAACCATATCACAATATCTAACATGGAGAAATTCAAAATCTTAGAGAATGAGTTTATCAAATAAATTGACTATAACGTAATTCTATACTGAATTTAGATATTTTTGGCAAGTCCTCTGTGATGATTACACGTGGGCACACAAACACACACGCACACACCTATAAGTGTATGTGTACGTTTGCATTTTTTCATGGAGGTTATTGTTGTGGTAACGTTATTAGTGATAGCAAAAGTTAAATAAGTACAACAAATATTAGATAGAATGAAAGATATTTCAGGAGCCTGTTTCTCTCACGAGCCAAGTCAATAGTCTGAATTTGCATGCGTTACCAATGTAACAATTGATGTTATTAGAACATGCTCACGACAGTTATATGAATTTTCTTTCGATATAAACTGGTAGTTAAAATCTAACTGGCATTTGATAGTTATGGTTCTATTGACATTTATTCGGCTCACAGTATTTTTAGCTACGCTTTTCCTTTCTTGATGTTTGGATTTGAATCTTAAACAACATATTTTACATAAAGAACCGAACAATCTCATACAGAGAAGATAATGTACTAAAAAATGATGCTTTGGCCTGAATGTACGCGGAAAACGCGTCGTAAAAAGTGACAAGTAGTCAAAAATGGTTGTTTCTAAATATTGGTATATCAATGGGTGCAACTTACTGCTGAATAAAATTACTATTAATTCTCGAAGAGTTAAGTATATCTGCAATTTTTCACAATCAACAGGTACTAATGGCCTTATAATCAATGTTATAATTAAAATAAAGTTCAACATCTTGGCCAATAATAAAATGATGCATCCATTCTTAAAAGATTTTTGTGTTATTTCTGTGGATTTATTAACATTATATCCTGGGCCGTAATCAAAGCCATGCACCTCAGCTTTAAAATCATCAAGAGACAGTAAACCTCTTTCGAAAGTAAAATTATGAGCAGCAGCGCAATGTCATATCAGCAAATACCCTCGAGAAGGTCGTGCATGATATCAACCGCAATCCGCAAGACACGAATTTTATGTAAAAAACACTCTCTTACAATATCAGATTGTTTCGAATCTTTTAAACGCGTACACAGCACCGGATTTTGATAATCCTTTATGTGTTCCTAGTGGATTATTGTTTTCGCAATCATCAAAATATATTATCAAGGGAAAAACATATTTGTCTCCAAACGTATGCACACGCTCTCTCCAAAAGTCTCCTTGGGCAAAATTCGTTATTATTTTATCATTAAATTGCAAATGCTGCAAATACTCCATAGTTTCTTTAAATACTAGTGATAATTCAAAAAAAAAAGCTTCAACACAAATCTCAGTAGGATAAATTGTGCGTTTATAGGAATATGAAACTGAATTTGTAAATTTTCAACTTTTTTATATTCGACCCTTTCGCCTACTCGAATATTAATATTTTATAATGATAAAACCACTTATGTCTACGATATCTAAACAATTAGAAAAGTCACCTATTATTTTATTAATATTTTCCACCTTATTCATATTTGCGCTAATCAACTCATTTGTAATTTATTTTTGTAAAAGTTCTGTAACATTGCATAACAATTTTTTTGTCATCAGTATAATCTCATTGACACGTTTTCTTGGTATAGTTGCTCGAATGATTAGAGATTAGCGCTAAATTTAACAGCGATATCGCATTGAGAAGTTCTACGTATTCGCTTCGTGCATAGTTTACAGTCGGTGCCACGGCTGGCACGATTTGTAACTTTTCGATCCTAAAGATACATTGTATTGAATAGCAGTGTATTAAGCTTTTAATAAATTATTTATTACCTACGTTTGATTATCGAAAATTTTCGAAAGGAGTATTCAGTTAACTCAATTGAACCTATTCAATCAATACGAAATGTCGTTATACTTGTGTTAAAAGCGATATATCGTTCTTATATATGGTTCTTAGATATATCTAAGAACCAATTTCTATTCTATTATAGGTATGGTTCTTAGATATACATAAGATTTGGATATTCTTGGATCAATTTTGATATTCTTTTTCAAAAATCGATGGCATAGTTTCTTGAACTACTATTTTGTCTAGCCATTTAACAAAAGGCTGGCAGACAACAGCAAAATAATCCAATGTACCGTAATAAATTCTTGACACTGTAGTTCTATGAACATTGAAGAAAACACTCAACGCCGAAAACGTTGTAGCGCACTTCATTTTCATTAAAAATATCAAAACTCTATTTTTATGATTGACTTTTTGTCGTAAATCAACCAACGTAGGATGATCTCTCTTATCTTTTAGTAACACTTTTAAAAATAGATTATAAGTTAAACTACTTACTCCACCTATATCGACTAATGCCTGCTCGTCCTTTATGTTTTCATAACCATGAAGGCAATTTTCACAAATTTGTCTCTTTTGAGAATATTCTTTTACCTTTCGTTTTTTTTTTTCACTTTTTTTACTTCATATTATTTGAAGGACTTGATGTGCCATCTTGATCTATTTTAGTCACGTCGATTCCCAATTGTTTAATCCAGCTTCGACCTAGTAATGCAGAGTATTTGTCTGGCACAATGTAAATTTCATCTTCAATTGATTTGTCGTTGAATTCGGCACGTACTCTAATTTTGCCATATAGCACAAAAATGTTCTGAGTATAAGATCGATATCCAATCGATGTTTGAAGTATTGGCACATTCAAGTTGAGCTTAGAAAATTAATCCTTCGGCAAAAATGTGTAGCCAGAACCAGAGTCAACCTCAAATTTGACAGTTTTGCCTTTGATGTTGATGTACGCGAAGAAACGCTCGTTTGATTTCAATGCCGCTTGATCATTTTGATAAACATCGATAACAGTATTAATACCATAATCAGCGAAAATTACTTGATCTTGTATGTAGTTGGTAGTTGACGCATTTGATTTTGCTTTGTTAAGTAGAGTACGGATGCAAATTTTACTTCCATGAGAACTCGTTTTATCACATTGAGTACATTTGAGCTTTGACCTGTCAACTCTGCAATCTTTAATCAAATGATTATTTCGCCCACATCTGAGACACAGTCCTTCAATACCCAAGTCTTATAATCGATTTTCAATCTTGAATTTTTTTGGAATTGCTGTTGATTCTGTTGTTTTGGCCCGAACGTTGTTGAGATTGATTATAGCCTTTTGAATTGTGTTGAGCTTTTATTTGCCTAGATATTGTTGAAGCCCCGAGACCTGGCGTTCCTGGTGCCCCACATAATTTATCTAACATACTTTTTTGTAGTTTTAGAAATTGAGCAAACTGAGTGGAGTCCATTGGTTTAGATATTCCGATAATTGAAGTATATGAGTCTCCACTTAAACTTTCGCTTGAATCGTCCGAATTATTGTTTTGAATGTCTCCAGAATATTTACAGAAAAAATTCAAACTCTTGAACATCGAGATTAAACGCGTATCAGCTCAACAATTTTTTTCGATCATTGAAGGCCACAGTCGGAAAATTCAAGCCGGAAGACATTTCTATTTTTCACCTTATCGCTAATTTGTTGTAAATTCGTGAAAATTAAAAAGTCTAAGATATAAGAAATGAGCTTTATATAAAATAATATATTAATGATTGTCTAACAAAACAAACGAATAGCGTGATGCTTAAAAGTTAATAGTAATACTCGAATATTTATTATAGTTACATAATAGCAAACGATATTTTAAAACAATTAATGATAGACGTAACATTTACTGTTAGTAGTAATTATATGAAGAAAATCAAGAAATGTACTACAACTATTCCGTTGATTAAATCGAAAGGTCGCTGTGAGTATACATTGAAAAAGCAAATAGGTTATTAAATACGAGCACAAAAATCTTTGCACTAAAAGTCTATTCTTTAGCAAAGCTTGTTCATTTTGCTATAATTATAATATTACAATTCCTAGGAAAAATTATTCTTTCTACAAAATATTTAGGTATTTTTTAATATTTCGAGAGGATATATCCAATAGAATAAAAAATATGGATGCTAAAAACCTTGTTATGATGGAACAAATCTAGAATGACATAGACACATTTTATTAATATAATTAGCCAGGATAATGTAATGGACATAGCTTACGATTAATATAGTTATTAAATTAAGAAAATTTAAATATTGTTTCAGTGCTCTGTGGTTATAGATGTAATAAATTATGTATTTTGTTTTTCAGCATATATCATCATTACAATAATTGTCTATATCTCTGTACCTACCGCACCACTGGTATTGAACAACATAAAATTTTTGAACATATCTCTTGATCGCACGTTTATTTTAGGAGGAGAATTTCTCGTCGATAGAGATAAATATTATACAGAGATTTTTATATTTGATTGTATATGCATAATTGTCTGTGCTCCTTTGATGTGCGCCTTTGACTCCATGTACGTTGTTTGCGTTCAACATTGTTTAGGGCTATTTGCCATAATCAAGTAAGATTATATTTAGTTGCTGTGGAAGTTGATGGGAGTAATTTCAAATTCAAGATAATTTAATTTTAATTTACGTTTATACAGAAACTATTATTTGTTTTTCTATATAATATATTTTCAAAATACTCATATCTGACAAATGTATCAATTATATACATAATTTTGGAGATTTGACTTACCTCACAATTAGTGCATACGTTTCTTTCTACATTTAAAAAAATGCTATAATAAAAATTACAAAATAAAGATTTAAGACATACAGTTGCAAATAAAAAGTTATTTATCAATATCGTTTATTATTTATCAAAATTATTGTCGGTTCTAAAATGTTCTTTTTCAATATAAATATAATGAATAATAAAGTAATAAAGCGAGTTTTTATGTATTTTTTCGTATACAAAAATTCAGTTTGAATTTGTACTTATTATTGCTCAATGGCTATCGTATGGTAGCTATCACAGCCGTATTATATTATACCAATGGAAGATATTTTATTGATGTTGAGAAATTAAAGAATCGTTTCGACTATTTATTAATTAGTTAACAAGATATGTTAACTATTGTAAAATATTTTTAATCCTTATATTAACTAATGATAAGTAATTGAGAAATATAAAACAATGGCGCTTAAACAAATTGAGTTGCTATTTCTTATAAAATATTCTGATTACAGGTTTCGATTACGGAAATCGACAGAGTCATATAGTGATCAAACGCTATCTAAAGTGGAAAAAGAAGCTGTCACATATAAATACATAACAAAGACAATTGAATTACATAAAAACGTATTGATGTTAAGTTCATTTATTTTAATCAACACCATTTTTGAGTATTTATGTAGTGTGAAACAGACTTCGAGCATCATAACACCTTGTTTAATTAAAAATTCCTAATATGCTGGCATAATTGGAATAAATGATATAATTTATGAAGAGAGTGTCGTAAACACATTTGTGACTCGTTAATTTTTCAGTAACTTACTAAAAAAATGGGATCATCTTTTTTATGATTCACTGTGCAATTTTATAATTGAAAGGAAGTTATAGAGTGTATAATTAAATAGACTATTTTAATCGAAGAAATTATCAAAAAATCAGTATTTAATTTGTACAATGTGTGAAAACTTCGTAGACTAAGTGTTTAGTATACATTTTCTTTACAGCGTCTGTCTCACACTAAATAAAGACTTGATGGTTGTGTTGCTCAATGATGTGCCCAATTTTATGCTTATAATTAATATTTTTATCGTTCAGTTTTACTGCAATTTTGGAAGCAACATACTCTTCGACTTTCTTAATCTTAGTAGGATTAAATATGTTGATTATCAGCTTAGCTTGCGTTTTAGTGAGTAATTTCAAACTTTTAAATAAGAAATAATTTTAGTGAATACCCGCAATTATTAATTCGTAGATACTAATAAAAATTGATGACAATGACATTATGAGTGTTCTTAGATTTAGTTTTGTACTTATTGGATCAGTATTACACTTATTCTTTTTAAGTTGGCCAGGTCAAGCACTAACCGATTACAGTCTTAGTCTTTCTGATGATGCGTGAGTATTGATTTACGCTACTGCTACTTTGTTATAACTTTCAATTTTTCATAGAAAATTTAGATATTTTAACGAAAAGTAAATTATATTGATGTAAATATTAAATTTTTTGTTATGATATAGTAATATATATCCTCATTTACTTTTATTGTGCGCGCGCGTGTCTGTGTCTGTGTCATAGCCTTAAAAACTGGGATTTTTATATTTTATGATTTGTCAATAAAAACGTTGATTTTGTATTTTTGTTCTTATGTTCTTATAGGTATGCAAATGAATGGTATGAAGCATCTATAGAATCCCAGAGATCATTAAAATTTTTAATTTTGAGATGCATTAAACCATGTCAATTGACCGCTGGAGGAATATACGTGATGAATTTTTCAAATTTTGCGATGGTAATTTATCCTTTAAAATATATGATTTATTTTATTAAATATATTGGCATAAATATTAAATATTATTTTTATATTTCATGCTAAGATTATCAAAACGTCAGTGTCATACATTACAATGTTTATATCTTTAACATAGTGCGACTTAGTACCAACTGAATACAAAATAGAAAGATAATTTTGTAAATGGTTGCAAATGATGATCGAGAATAAATGCAATATTCTATTTTTTTGAGTCAACCTTAAAAGAGTTATTTATACAAGATTTATGATACCTTCAGCAAAATTGATATTATGTTTAGTATAAAATATATGTACAGGCGGACTTCCACCCTAAAAAGTTCGTAATTTATTAAGATTTCAAAAAATTTATAATTTCACTATTTTTTTCCGCTTGTGTTTGTGTTAACTACTCATATGTTTTTCAATTTAAAAGTTGTCTTTCTCAAACTTGATATGTACGTTCATTCTTCTAATACAAGTATAATTCATCATTTATATCACTGTTGGGTTTATAGTAAAAATTATTTTTGCTAATCATTATTTCAATACGTATGAAATATTTGATTACATTAAGTAATTTAAATCTATACGTTAGTGAGATTGCACATTGGTTCGCAATATGCAATGGTATCACATAAACTACTTTCTTACATATAACTGCGCAAATTAAGCGCTATACAACATCATATGGACAAAGGCAGTGTCACAATACTAACATGAACTATCGTATACTTGATGGCCAGAATTTAGACTGATGAATTGAAGTTTATTGAATTGAGTTAGCAGTTGCTAGATCGTTGGTTTGTGGATTCCATACCATAAGGTTTGAATTTGTGGTTTATTTCAATTGGAGTGTACAGAAAGGTATTATATTTATTATAAATTAACTTGCTGTATACAATAATGTAACATAAACCATAAGCCTTTTATGAAATCATCTCTTTTCCGTATATCCAAGTCGAATTTCCTTGCTCTGATTTCTTTTACCTCCTTTCTTTCTTTTGCTTCTGTATTTATCGCTCTTATTAGAAAAGATAGACAGTTGTAGAAAAATTTGTTTTCTCTACAGTAAAACTTATACAATACAAATAATACAATGTGTTAAATGTAGTCATTTAATAATCTTTGTATCTATTATACGCTATATTTTGTTATTTTAACAATTCTTGTGCATAAATGTTGCACGTTGTAATGGACTGTTTTATTAATCGTAATTAATTAAAATATTTTTCGTGATTCATTCCAAAAATATTAATAAATTATGTTTATTTTTTTTTCATATCCTGTTATTACACATGGTGAGCACCAGCATTGTTATTATTTAACTAATTTTACCAGCTATTCCTTGGAATTTCAAGACCTATATGTCAACAAATAAATCTGAATAAGCAGGATTTATCGAAACATGGAAATTTCAGAATGATGCTGAAAAACGCCGATTATAAAAATAAGAAGAAAAGTGCATTTATCTAATACAAATATATGTATATAAATGAGGCCTATAGCGCTTCCAATGCGACTATCTACGTATAGGTACAAATTAGAAAAGGACAGCGTCACAACTGCTTTGTTTCAGCCTATCATCGGTAAAGACATACTGATAACTTGATCAAGATGCGATAGAGAGAGAGAGAGAGAGAGAGAGAGAGAGAGAGAGAGAGAGAGAGAGAGATAGCATTACATGTCTAAATCATGCAGATTAAAAATGAAATGGCTCGCGGATTTATGCTCGCGGCAAAGAGGGAACTGAGGAAAGAGGAAAAGCCGGAGTTGCCGATGACTTTGATAGAGTACGGATGTATAGATCCGATCACTTTTTAGCTTCTTCGCAATTAATTTTCCCCGTGAATAGAGTAAATCATTTTGCATACGCGTAAAAGCACCGTAGCTTGCTCGTGCCATAATTTATTTGATTTGGTATAGTATGCAAATTATTTAGTGTGCCGTAGTATTGATTGCAACTTGTTGGAGAATCGAATTTATTGTACATCTTCAAATTTAAAGTGAGTACTGCACGATTGAATATTCGACCCGCACTATTCATCCAATCATTTGTTTAGTCATTCTGTGTAAATTCACTGCGTACCTACGTAAATCAATTTCTAATTTTGCTTAATCAGTGCATTGCAGAGTAAGAAATCGCGCTTCCGCGTTCGCGTCTTTAATATCTTTTCTTTGTGAAAATACTATTCTCGTTACCAATCCTTTTTGTTCTTTGGTTAATTTTATTATTTAATTTTGCTATTAATTTTAAGTGCCTAGCCTACACACTTACACACACACACACACACACACACACACACACACACACACACATCTACGCATCACCTAATTTTCTTTGTAAATTTTTGCTCCGTACAGAAACACGTTATTTTGTATTAAATAAACGGGCTCACTTTCAAGTTATAAACATTTCAGTTAATTTCCCTCATCCTAACATTTCTTCCATTCAGAAACATATTTATTCTCTGAAATGTTTGCAACAATAAAGAAAACATCATCACAATATTATCCGAAAACATGCTCTCAAGGTAAGCCCCGGCCTTGTTTTATAGTAGCTGAACCGAATACATTTTGACCTCAAGTAATAAACAATCACAGTATGTATCTTCTTGCTGATAGGTCACATCTATGTAACGAATAACAAGTTAACTATTTTCTTCCGCCTTCGCGATTAAGCATTTTCACTCGAGAGTGGAACTCCTCTGAACTTTAATTATTTGTTAATTAAAATTTAGCGTTTCATAATCCATCGCATCGAGGAGGAAGAGTATTACTATCACTTATAGTAGCTTCAATGCTACACCTGACCATCTATGCACAAAGGTCTTCGCCGTATTGCCAAGGAGTGCGCCGAGTGCCAGCGTTTCAAAGTTGGACGCTACGCGCACAAGCTCCTTGCGACTTTTATGCATCCAGATGCCCGTTTTGACCACGTCCATATTGATCCACATCGTTGGATCCCTTCTCGAAAAACACGGATACAAAGCATAATCAATCGTTTTTCTAGGTGGTCAGAACCGATCCCTACCAGTCACATCACAACAGACACGGGCAAAGGTATTTTTCTCGCAATGAATAGCGAGATTCGGTAGCCCTAAGATATTGACAACTGATCAAAGCTCGCTCTTTCTGCTTTTGTACAGCTGATTGACGGAAAACAAATCCACGCTTGACCGTATCATTCTTCGGCGAATGGATTGCTAGAGTGATGGCACCATTCCCTAAAAGCTGCAATCATGTGCCGTGAATGACAGAGCTGGTTTGATGCTCTTTTTATAGTACTCCTCGGGTTGCGGACATGTTACAAGGAGGACTTAAAGGCTTCAGCTGCTGAGTATTTATACGGTACTACTCTCAAGTTCCCTAGCGAATTCTCCCTACACGAAGACCCGCCCACGGATCCTCACGCTTTTTTAGAAGACTATCGCATACATAAATAAATCGCATGCGTAAACTAAAGCCGGCTTCTGTATCCCACCATTGCAAAGAGAATAGACGACAAAAATTTCAAGATCGACATTAACGGTCGAGAATCAATAGCGAATGTTGAACGCCTGAAATCGGCTTACTTGCCGTCTTCTGAATTTTTTTATTCAGAGGGATCTTTTGACAGCGTCAGCACATCCCAACCAACGAGACAGGATTACATTCTCATCTGAAAATAGTCAGCAGTTATCTCGTTCCCCGATCCCAACATCTCAACCATCAACAACAACTGCACATTTAAGTGCTTCAACCACCCAACGCACGAATCACAACTACGCCATACTGGCCCCTCAATTCCTAGGCCGGTAACGACGCATAATCAATTACTCCTAACTTGATGACTTACCGCCCAAAAAAAGTGAAGATAGATTTAAGTAAAAACAAATGTTACAAATTAGTTGATAAGCTCTCGATTATGATCTCAAGGCTTTTGTATTCCTAATAAAACGATGTCCTTAGATTAACTACCTATATTCAAACCAATAGTAAGCGTTTCGTTACCACTGACAAATTTGTCAATTGTATGACATTTCATAGACTCAAGTTTTATACTCTCTTACTCTATACAATCGCGATTAGCATATCTACTACCGAATGGTATTGCATTCTCGCAGTATACTTAATTACATATCTATCAGGTATCGTTTCACTCGGAAGGGAATAGCGTGGCGCCCCCGTGCACTCGGCGCATAAGTACTCAGAACGCGTACCGCGTAAAACAAAGAAACTCTTTCGCGACATTTCGACAAGTACGATTGCGTATCGCTCGTGTTCGACGCCTACTTAGTGCTTAATAAAGTTAAGCTTCTGATAAATGGGGACTCTCGATTACTACGCCTCGGTCCTCAAGCGCTTTAAAATCCCCACACTGCGTATCGCGCTCTCGCCATCTCCACGAGGCGAAGATTAAGCAAACTATTGCCTTTGAGAAGAGACAAGAGGCGATAACTAGGAGCATGCAGATATGCTGGCTCTCTCTCTCGACTCTCACTCCGGGGCCGCCGCAGCATCAACATCGAAACTCACACCTTGCCGTTCAACTATACGTCGAACACAATATACGTCGATGTCGGCATCATCATCGTCCTACAACGCCAAGAAGATCTGTTTCATTTCTGGTAATCACCGGCGTGGTGACACTTGAGCTTCCTCCCTGGAGGGAGGAATAAATAAAGAAACCCTGGAGCGCCGAACCAACACTTTTCATCAACTGCTTTGTACCAAGAGACAAAATACCTCTCCACTGAGAAATAAAGTTAACTGTTTCAATAAAAATTGAACGGATTCAATAAAATTATTTAATCACTGGCAATCCATTAAATAATTTCATCCAATCAATCACTATTTAATCATCAATCAATATTGATATATATAAATATTGAATATTATAAATTGATTTATCAAAAAAAAATTTATCAAATTTTGATTACATATATAATCAAAATGTAATCAAATCGACCATTATACACAGATGTGTGGCGACAGATTCGAAAATAGAATTTAAAAACAAAAACGTGCTGTTGGCATAGCAACAAAATAATTATTAATCAGTTGTTATTCGTTAGTCAGTTAGTTGACGTCTAATTGATATCACTTATAACATACAAATAAATTATTAAAATAGTAAAACAATTATTTATTTTTATATAGATGCATATATACAGGGTGAACCATTTTAAGTTCCCTAATATAATATATAGAAAGCTACGGGTGCTAGCGAAAAATATTTCAGACAGAAGTTGCTCAATTTTGCGGAGGTCATATTCCCATGACTTTGTTTTTGACCTTCGTGGTCATCCCGTACAGAAATTTCCCTGCTTGATTCCTAGATTTAAGCACGATTCTGACTAGATTTTCTCAAGTTCTTTGTTTTTATATTAATCGTACAGGAATCGGATCAGAAAATCCTAGAATTATTAGCGAGGTTAAAGGATACACGTTTTCCCCGTCTGAATCCAATAAAACAATCGCACCGTAATTTTAAGCTTTGAGCACATACGTCATTCTTGCATTAACATTTCTTGTAAACAATCGACCATATCACAAAAAGTCTTATTTTTATTTTTAAAATTCTTTTATTATTGAATTCCTTGACATTTTATCTTTAAGAATACGTTTTAAAATTCATCGAGCGATCATTACATGCAACACAGTGAGCGATAATAGTGGACGCTGACGCTGACGTCATCGATAAAAAATGGAATTTTTAATGGGTGTTTTTTAAATGTTAGGTTTGCTCTCAAAATTGGATTTATTGACGTATTTAATAAGAACGAGAACGCAGTGCATATTTTCAATCCTTATTCTTTTAATTCAACGTACACTGGCAACTATACCAATAAACAAAAATATCAAGGATATTGACGAAATATTCCAAGAGATAAGCGCGTCAGAACAAGAAGGTGGTTTATTTCGTACGTTGAATGATAAAAAACGTCGAAAGGATCCTAACAGTGTGAAAATTTGATTCTTTATTAATTCTTTATTAATTCTTTAAAGTTAGCCGACTTTGAAAACGATTTCTGGATTTGAAAGTTATTTATTGATCATTTCATTTCATATTATAAAAAGTGTAAGTATTTCAGAAAGCTAGCATTACTAACAGTTAATACATTGAAAAAAGATTTTATTTGCGCAATATTCAAGAACATTATACCAACAAAATCATAACACATAATATGCCTGAAATGTTGCACACAGTAGAAAGTATTATCGATTTGGGTCTTAAAAAGGGTGTTACGTCAAATATGTCGAAAGATTAAGTGCAGAAAATGTAGATTAATAGAAAAGTATTTAATAGGAAACAGCATACTCACCTGTAATTAATTCTGTTATCGATTAAAAAGTGAATATACAAAAAAATCTGTTAAAATTTCTAGAATCGTTACTTCGGTAAATTCTTTTGCTGCGACTAAATCTGAAATTTTCATCATAGTAAGTAAATATGGAAAAGAAGTATATGAATTTTTTAACTTTATTAATTAATTTTTTAATTTAATTCCAAAGAAGTATATATATATCAAAAAAATTGGTACAATTGATAAAGAAATAATGGGTATGAAATCTAATGAAATTAAAAAAATGGTCATTTATACAAAAATATCATAAAACGATCGCTATACCACCGCAGTAACTAATATGTTAAAAGTACTAATAATTTGTTACCAATCAATTATGTACACAAAATATTTATATATTTTTGGGCTTTCGAGCAAAATAATCACACCGAAATTTACAAAAATATAGATATTGAGTTCAATAATATGCACTGATTTGCGAGGGAAGTCAAATTGTTAATGCTGATTTTCATCTTATAATGCATTAAGAATAGACGTTATAAGCAGACTATTATTGTAATCGTATAGATTGAGTACTAGAGAATTGAATCGTATTTGAAAAGATTCTAATTACATTTTTTATATACGAAATTGATATCAAATTTATATACTAATGTTTGGACAATTCGGAGATGAATTGTCAGAGTCCCTTATGCACTTCAGACAAATTTGTGTGCAAACTCTTCATAAAATTTATACAAATATTTTTATTAGAATAGCTATTGAAGAACACCGAAATCAACTAAAATACATAATGTTTTAACTCATCGTAACAAAGTATTCAGCTTTCAAATCAAAAATATATATCTGTCTACAGTTTATGTACAAAGTTTTAGAACTGCGTCGAAATAATTATGAAAAAATATCTTAAAAAAATTCTCTCAGGATGGTACTGACTCAGATAATAATCCCAGGCATATAATGTTCCAAATAATAACCTAGATATATAATATTCGAATCAAATATCGAACTGCGGAATAGTTATGCTCTTGCATTAGGCAAACTGCAATAACTAACAGAAATGGTAATTTAATAGCTCCACGACAATTTACAATAAGTAGAAATTTTCATTTATTTCTAATGAAAAAAAGAAATGGAAAATTACATAGAGCTCAATATAAACTAATAATGGATCGGTGATATGAATGGGTGAAGGTGTGAACGATCGTATTATTAACATTGGCTATCACATATTCATTGGCTTATGCCCCTTGTATACGCGTTATAATTATGAAAGAGCTCTTTTACATACGTCGCTACATATTTACACAAAACTTCACCCACTTTCGCATTTATTCGCTTAATTTCTTTTAGCTTTAAATTTTATCTTCATTTCAAGTCTTTTCGGTTTACATAAACTGTTTCATTTATTTAGCTTATGTTTGCACTCAGCTTATAGCGTTAATTTTAGCTGCACAATTGCAATAACAGTAGTATGGAAACTTCACAACTAGCGAAATAATAGACATTTCGATAAAAAATCAAACTCTATTGAATATACCGAAGAGTACTAAAGATTTTTCGATGTGATCTCACCGCTTATGATCGAGCAACGATCCTCAATAATCGGAAACTGCCTCCAATTAAAACATCGAGCCATTCTGATAACTTTTAACGATCTATACTTCTCTTGAAAATTAAAATAAAAAAAGGACAGTTTTAGAAAACTATAAAGTTATCGCGTAGTTTTTCTTAAAACATTATAAAGCTCGATCATTTTAACTTTTTTATCTGAAAACAATTCATTTTCTCGCTATATTGCAACATATCGTGATTGACAAAAAAGTTATAAGATTAAACTTTGATACATTTTACCCTTAGAAATCTTGTTTATGTTATCAAGAATTTAAAGGGGAAAATGTAGGTAAGGTTTTTGTTATATTTTATCTTTACATTGAATACAATCTTATTCACATATATCTATGTATATTTGTTACCTGTAATAATTTTGCTTTTATATACAGTACATAGTATAGTTTCTTCTGGGATTGTCTTTTGGAGATCAAAAAACACTTACGGCAAAAACTCTTAGGAGATTACCGATTTGTTCTTACAATGATTATAATCTATTAATTTATCATACAAAATCTTAAAAATTAGAACTTTCTCGCACAAAATACTCCATCATCGCTACTTATGAATTTATTCTTATTAAGTAATGCGATCATACAAAAAAGCCTTATGAAGCGCGATATAAATGATTACCAGTATAACTTAGGAAGAATCTTCATTAATAAAGACAATACTGTCAAAGTCTTTGAGACGAAAAATGTTGGCTCGATTTCCTTTGAGAATAATACTATAATTTTTAATTCATATTTTTTTTAATTATTCTCAGTAGTAATAAGTAAATTAACAATGAAAACGTGCTATGGCAGTCGATCTCCGTCGCTCTAAATTGTTTGAAATAGAAAATTTACAATGTTTTTTGTGTGCGCACGCACGCACACATACATCTGTATATATATATATATAAATGAATTACTCAAAAAAATGGAATGTATCAAACAGAATCTTTGATATGCATGACAATTAAAATTCTATAAATTTTCCATTGTAATTCTATAGTTCGATAACTTCAATATCAAATTAAAAGTATACATTATGAACTGAAAAATACTTGTATATTTGTCTTTGCACACGAAATACTGCTGTAATTAAGATATGGATTTTCTGTATAATTAAACTTTCGTCTCATACGAAAGAAAATATAAAAAAAATTGCTAAACATAACTTAAAGTAATTAAAATTTATTGATGTTACCCAAAAATTATTAAAAATTTGTTGTTCGTGGTGACAGTAGAAATCACTAAAGTCGTACTACATTGAACACTTTAACATTTAATACATAAATACCTTATATAAATAAAAAAGAGCAAACCTTTGAATATGGTTTGCGTCACAAATTTCTTTTTATTTCGATAATTTCACACTGTAACAATCTTCATCATGTTTAGATTTTTGTAATTTTCTTATTTTAACTAGTAAAAATCAAAAGCTATAAATGTTTCTTCGAAAAAAAAAATGATTAATTCATTTTTCTTAATTCACGTTTTTTCTTATTTTTTTTCTTAATTTATCAATCGTAGAAAGATGAACTGACGAAAACGAATACCAGTTAGAACATTGATAACAGATTCTTATAATTTAGGATAACTAGCACCAGGCTACGTCCCTAAAACTTTCAAATTTATTTGACTTGTTCAAGTAGAGGGACGTCGATCAAAATTTCATGCACGTTGTCCATTGTCATTGCATTGGCAAAAAGTAAATACATCTATAAACGTGATTTTAAATTTATCACGATTTGCAGCTCTCGCGTTCATCCTCATTGAGAATGCGTGTAACATACATAAATTACGACGTCCCGAGTATAATGCTGCTTCTACAATACGGACGAGATGATTAATCATAATTGCGCTAGTAGTTATATAAATTCACCCTGTTATCGATACAACACTCACATATAATGGTTTTACATAAAAAAATCGAAATAGTTTATTTCATTCTATCATGGATTGTCATATTGAAATATTTCATTCAATACACGCAATGTACATTATCGCATTTTTCATATCATTCTTTACAAGTAGAACAGTATTTCATCTTTTAAATGCGCTTTACTTATGCTGCTTTGAAACGATAAACAACGATATTAAATTAAATTCCAGTACAGTACATTTTTATATAAAGGTAAATAATGTTATCGAAAAATATCAAGATCGATATCGATACTTAAAATGGTCACGAAAGGAATGAAAAATATAATGAAACTATGTATTACAAATGAAAAACAAACTTGAAAATCAAGTTTCACTATAGTTTTGAATATTACATTCAACACCAACTTTCGCTTTCACGGTCAACAGCACCCTCGCTTTCTTCGTCACTGGGTACTTCACCGTACATGTCAGCGAGCTTTCGGAATCTCGGACCAAAGTTAGACAAGTAATTAAATTTGAGATCACCGTCATCCGTGCAGGAGGCAAGAGAAGACAACGAACCTTCTGAGTTGCCTTCACCCTCATAAGCATAGTGTCGTACATCGTCGAAAGGATTGGTATCCGGATCTTTATCACAACACTCTTTTTTACCGTCGAGGAATCCACATATATCTGGTACTTCGTCATTTTCTACAAAGAAATTTTATTGAAATCAAATAAATTTCATTACAGTGTCGTCAATTGGGAAGTTGCATTATTCAACAATTACCTCTTCCTTGTAGACTCGCGGCGTTAATCTTCATATCATTCGGTGGATCATACATTGCTCTAAGTACGTTAAGATCATAGCCGGTATCAACTTCGCCGCCACCTTCGTCTTCATAATTAATAATATTTTCTCTGATATCATCCATATCCTTATATAAATCATCCGTCTTTCGTCTATGGACAACAACTGCCAACAGGAGAATCAATAGTATAGTGATACAAACTAGGATGGCCACTAAGAAATTCGTGTCTATTCCGAAGGAAACAGCTTTCGCCATGCCAGTACTGCAACCTGAATCTGCATTGTGTGCCAGCGTCGGTATACCAAGATTGTAAGTCTGTACAATAAATTAATTCAGGTGGATTTATTTTATTTTCCAATAAGAGTTCGTTTGTAATCAAATGATTGGAACGTACGTTTCCGTTGATTGTCATGTTTCGAATGCATCCTACAAATCCTTTCGTAGTCGGTACATGTTGCCATTTGAATTTCTCTCCCAAATCAACCAAATCTTTCTGTGCGCCTCCTATTTGCACTGGACTATTCACATTCAGAATTTCCGCCGTACCACGGGGCGCTTCCAACCTCATACAGCTTGATTGCACACAGCCGTCAATTTTCATTTCAATATTCTTGAATTGTAAACAAGGTTTATGAAATAAATCAAATAAACATTACATGTGTTACACGCTTATTGTATTTTATCGTATATGACTTACAGTTTTAGACCACCAAATGTCAATTCTATGAGGCTTTCCGTCAGCAATAAATATTTGATCACCGCCAACTTCGTTATTTTCGCTACTAGACTTCGACCTATCAAGCATCACAGTACCTTGGCCGTAATCCATGTATAACACAGGATTTCCATTTTGCAATTCTAACGACATAAAATCTTGAACACCCAACTTTTCAGAATATATCATAGGACCGAAGTAAAATATCAAACCGTCTTTGGCGTGCGGTGTTATTTCAAGACCTGGAAATCGAGAAGTCAACAAATTAAAAATAATTAACAATATTTAAAAATCGCTAACAAAGACACTGATATATGAAGTTCAAACTGATGGAAAAAATAACAATAATACAAGATGGCTTACTCAAATACGATTCATCGCACGCTTGTCCCGGTGGAGGCATGATTGCCCACCCATCCCCTTGAAACCCAATAGACAGCAACTCGCATCTCGGCCCTTCGTATCCCGGTAAACACTCGCACCTCGTGTCGAGAGGTGTACCTCCATTCAGACATTCGATTGGTTCGACCACGTGGCAAATACACTGCGGATCCACTACAGCTCTCACACCAACAAACGAACTTGCATTTGTATAAACAACGTATGGCGTCGAGCTTATATTCAAGTAACTTCTACAGGAACTGTTGCAGTGAACCTATAATCGTTTAGGATAAAATTTATAAATAAATAAAATTTATTTTCTTCCAGTTAAAGATTTTCTCCTTTTAGTTAAAAACATTAAACACACCTTCTCGAATAAACACTCATCAATATTGACCAAAAGTACATGAGCGCCCATACTATCAGCAATCTCTTGTGTGTGATCGGCAACGATTGTATTAAGCTTCTCAGCAGCATAATAAGGGCTACCATGGGCAGAAAAACGAACATCCAGGACGGAATCGTTTTGATAAGGCGAGTGTAAAACCGTGAAAACATCAACATTCTCTACAGAAGTATTAAACATCGTTGAAAGATGTTCCTGTAGCAGATCCTTTTTACTGATCCCAACGCCGGACGGAGCAATAAGATCTTCGGCACTAATTCCAAGAAAACGAATAGAACCGGATTTAACCACTGCTTCCTTAGGAATTTCTTTGACAGTAACGTTGACCGTTGCTTGAACTTGGTGCCTTCTTATTTTAGAACCTGAAAATCAAATTTCAAATTATTGTTCTTTCTCACGTAAGGAAATATCATAAATAATCACATAAATCTATTTTCAAAATTACTTACTTTCTTCCACAACAGTAAACTTAAGTAAGAAAGTTCCATTTCTTATATCATGAAGCAATGTTATAAGTCCCGTGGATTTTTCCAGCAAAAAGCCTTCCACATCACGATTTTCGTACCATGAAAAAGTCTTATTTTCCAAATCCCAATCGTCGGGATCGTTGACATAGACTCTACCAATGTCGACGATTGTCGACTCCCCATTGTAATTGTAAACAAATATAGAGCTAGAGCCATCTTGCATTGGATTATCATTTTCATCACCAATGAGTACAGTTAGTATTGAAATGCCAGTAAGGCTTGGCGTGCCATGGTCAGTTATGGCTACGGGTATATTGTAGCTCTTACGTTCCTCTCGGTCAAACTCTACTTTTGCCCATAAATCATTACCACGAATTTCAAATTTCGTAAGAATCTCGTAATCGGCTGAGATATCGATGCGGTAGATAAAAGGCGGACCATTCTTATCGGAGTCGTAATCTCGAGCTTGCAACTGAGTTATGTTACCTGGACCTTGATTTTCACGCCAAATTACAGGATATGGCATGTCTAGGAAAGGTGCATTGTCGTTGATATCCGTCAAAGTGATATTGATTGAATCCGTATTTCGAAGAGAGTTAGGACCTCCATCTTCGTCTTGAGCAATTACAGATATCTGTATAAATGTAAAATAGAAAATTGGTTTTTTTACAAAAGCTTCACCCTTCAAAACTATATAACAATTTATCTAAGAACTTTGCATTAACGTTGTATAAATGACACTAAATTTTTATACTTTTAGCTTAAGATGATTCATGGATCTTAATTGGATATAAAAATGATGTAAAATAGCTATTACCTTATATGCATTATGATAAAAGTATTATTACTGTATGAAATATTAACTCGATTGTTCGTGTAATTTTTTATTTTTTATTTGCGGAATAATACCAAACCATAACATTAAACAAATGCTGATGTGGATAATTTTTATGGACGTGGTTAAATATTAAAACTCGAAAACTTCAACGAAGGGCATTTTCGATTAAATGTATCAATCAAGTTCAAAAGTAGATGTTGCTATGTTTTGAATAAAATCCAATATAATCAGAAATTCATTAAGTAAATGAATTACTAAGTAATTATTAGATTAAATAATCATGAGCTAAAGAGTATGGCAGCAGCAAAAATCAGTAACGGTAAGTTTCTTTAAATTAATCAATTTTAAAGTAATGTTTTTCAAAAAATTTCAAATTACTCCGTTTTTTAAAAAATATATTATTGTTTTATACGGATGAAAAAACGTTATTAATACCGTCCAAACTGGATAACCACGAGGTGGATCGCGATCCAATGGTTTCTTCAACATCATGCATCCATCTTTATCAATGTGAATTAGGGGTTTATGTTCCGGTCTCAAGATCGAATAAACAATGTGTTGATCAGCTTTTCGATCTTTAATATCCGGGTCATAAGCAGTGATTGTAGTAAGACAGCCTATGAGAATATAGTAAAGGGTATTAAACAAATATCACCATAGATTAAATAACGCTAATTTGATTAAATGCAGTAATAATATACCTTTGTACAGTTTTTCCTCTTCAATAATGGGATTTCGGTCATAAACTTCAAAAATCGGCTGATTATCGTTAACATTCTCAATGAAAATGCGCACAGTCGCCGTATCGTCGAAGACACCGTCGAAAGCTCTGACGGTCAAATTGTATTGGGTGATCTTTTCGTAATCTAGGCGCTGATTTACACGAATCCTACCAGTAGTATTCTCAATCATAAAGCTATCATCGACGTTGCCAAAGAGGATGCTGTAGATGACAGGGCTGGCCGTATCAGCATCTAGCGCCTTGACTTCCGTTACAAGGGCATTGATATTAGCGTCCTCGGATATGGCATTAGCCGTGTACTCATGCTGAGTAAAGTGTGGTGGATTGTCGTTCTTATCGGCGATTTCGATGCGGAAATTCTGCTCACCCTTGTTGTGCTCACCCGTCTTAAAGAGGGCACTCGGCGAGTTATCAGTGGCGATGACTTTGACGGTATACGTGTAGTCAGTTTCACGATCGAATTCTACTAGAGTAGTAATGTTACCAGTGTAACGGTCAATTGTGAAAAACTTGTCGTAGTTGCCAAGCGCATAAGTCACCTGCACGATAGTCATGAATTAAATTATGTTCAATGTTCGAGGATAATGCAATTTTTTTTTTAAATTGTAACATCTTAAAACAATTCAAGCAAAACTCTTAATCGGTATAAGAGCAGAGTTAAAAATTTAAATTTGTTAACCTTAAAATTTTTTAATATTTCTGATAACAATACTATTTTAAAAAGTATATTCGTCACAAATATAGAATGTGGAATAAACGAGGAGTGATTATTAGAATAGCATTGACGGGTTCGATAAAATAACTGAATAAGAAATGAAGTAACATATATTTTACCTGGTTATGAGCTGAAGTACCATCGGCGTCGATCGCTCGAACCTGCATCACAGGAGTACCCGGTGGTTCGTTTTCCAGAACGCTCCCCTTCTTCATCTCACGAAATACGGGAATATTATCATTGACATCGAGCACTTCGATGTAGATCATTGTCTCGGCGGCCAACTGGTACTTGTTTTGCACGCGTACGATTAACGAGTACTCGGTATTACTCTCGTAGTCCAGAGACTTGGCCAGCTTTATCTCAGCAGTGTTCTTGTTGGACACCAACCTGAAGGTGTTCTCCTTGTTGGTCTGCTCGGTTCTGCCAGTAACGAGTTCAAAGAGAAAGTAGTCTGGACTGTCGTCGATGTTGGACGCGGCCTCAAGTCGGGCAATGCTCGCCTCGTAATCGCTAAAGTTCTCGGGCAGTTTGATCGCTTCGTCGGGGCAATAAGTAAAGGTGGGGGCCTTCTTGTGTGATTCAACGACACGGATGTCGATGTCTATGACGTTTTGCTTCGGCTCGTCACCTTGGTCTCTTGCCATCGCTGTCATGCTGAATCTGTAGCCCGGAGTTTTCTAAAGACAACAACGACATACGCGAATAAACGACATGTACTTTTAATCGAGACTTCAATGCGGGACTGACTCACGTCTATGGTATGATTCAAAAAGATGACACCAGTATTGACATCGATTCGAAAGTAGATGCTGTCCTCAAAGCGCTTAGGCGAGATGCTGTACTGCACCTTTGAGTTAGGACCGTCGTCGATGTCCGTCGCCGAGACCCTCATTACCTCTCTGCCTATTGAAAGATCTTGCGGCACCGATTCCATGTATGACTGTGGAAGAATCATAATCAAACACCAATTAAATATGACCTCTGATCAGGTATAGTTGTGACAAGTATACCATACAATTTCATTATATATGCGATAAGTTTTTTATGCGACTGCCGGCTACAAGTTTTCACCGACACATTTTTCATGAATGACTAGTCATATCCGTGCCTCAAAGTGTTTCAATCATCAAGAGCTCAGCGCTTATTCATGGCTGCAATTGATCAAAACTTTGTTCATTTCCATTGAATTATAAAAGCGAACGCAGCAGCCTTGTAACAATAAACTTTTTTCAGTTTAAAACTTTATTAAACTTAGTCCTTCTGATGCAATCAGGGAAATGCCGCAGCAAGCTTATTCTACATACATGTGGCCAATTCTACAGAAAAAATGCCTAAATTCGTTTCGGTTATTGTCCAATGTTCAAATTGCACTCTCGTCAAATTTTAAGGATGTAGGGTTGTCCATTGGAAAATACTTTGGTTTGTCACGTCGTTTATTTTAAGATTTTCAAGGGGGCGATTTTAGGATTTTAAAGTGCAAAAACGGAATATCAGAAAAATGCATAGTAGACGGTATAAATGTTTTTAGGTTCTATTGTCATCATATACTGATAAAATAGAATGATTAGAAGCACGCACTGAATTTGAAAACCAGGCAAAATCAAAGTCAAATAATTAAGGCATTTTGTTTATGTAATTGGGCACGCATGTATCTGCGTAAACTGCCATAGGAACAGCCTAAACGTGAATGTGAAAAAATGAAATCGAGCGCTTTGTGTTTAACTTATGCCAGCACCAGTATTTAAGCGCGCTGCAGCTTTATAAGAGCCTTATTGCATCGATTATACTATATAGTCAGACTGTCAATCATGAGAAACCGCACTGAAAAGCTCTTCGGCGCCTACATCTATACAGACTATAAGATCGTTATTAATTAATCCAGAGACCACTCGCCATCTAGTACATCTAAACATTAAAGTGTCAAGCTAAAAGTATATAATAGCTGCGAATTATTGTCGCAGTACAATCATGCATAATCTGTGTCGTATTGTGTAAAGCGCCGCTGCTGACGCTATACGCTGTGTCTGATCGATTTTCTCATTATACACACTGCAGTAGATTGTAATCTACCTCTGCATGCACATATTTCAACTATATTGGATTTGATTTTGAACCTATTCAAATGAATCCGTTTAACAGTTTGCATTATGTCACTAGTATATATGTTGATTCAGTAAACACTCATTTTAAATATTAGTTTACTTCAGAAAAAATAAAAACCCGCCGATAGCAGATATTGAACTTGCTCTACTTACATCTTGCCAAGTGAACTAACTCAAAGCTCAGGTGATATTTGCGTTTGTAAGCAGAAAAACATTGAATTGTCCGAAAATGAATGCATCATAATAAATTTATCGAAAGTGTCCAAATGTGCAGTATTATCAATAAAAAGCTTTAATTGTCGAGTCGGGCCACAATGAAAGAAGCCGTAAAGGAATAATGAAAAATCTCTGATAAAACAAGGTGCACACACACACAACGGCAACAATAAAAGTAATAAAAGTAGACAAAAAACGTCAAGAGAATAATGAAAAATAAATGTGATGTATGAAAATTCACCCTTGTAAAAAAAGGCATGCATTGTTACAAACACAGAAAAAGAGAAAGAGAGAGAGAGAGAGTGAGAGAGTGAGAGGGGGGGGGGGGAAGAGAGAAAACATCGAGGGGTATTATTAAGACAATTAACGGGCCGTTTGACTGAAGTGCGATTCGTATGCATGGAGTTGTCTCTACGTGGAGGTGAACAAAAATATAAATGCAAATAAATAACGAGAAGCACGAGCGCGTGTTTTAGTGAGGCGTGTACGTGCAGCGTATATGTATATACACGAAATTATGTACACGTGTAAGTTGAGTTTGTCTATAGGTGTACAAAAGGTGATAATTATAGAGGTGGTGGTAAATAAGGGGGCCACATAAACAGAGTGATAGATAACATATAATACAAGAAAAGAATATTAATGTTGAAAAATGATCACGCGTATCGGTCATGTGGCAGAGCGACGACACTCAGCTCACGTTCTCTGAACATTCATAGGACACATGAGAGTGCGCGTGCTCGTGCATGTATTTCGTGTGCATGGACACGGAGAAATTCGACAAAACCAACCTTCGGCCCTGGTCCCCAGAAGTCCTATATGAAGGAGGCAAACAATCCAAGCAAAAAAACAAAGACAGACATGTTAGTTTGATCTCGAGCCTCGTCACTCGCAATAATTTGTTAATCAAATTTAAATATTACCTTTAAAAGATAACTAACAGATTTCATTATAGATAAAAGTCGAACGCGTACGCAAAGATAAAGTAAAGCTTGAGATGCAACTATCTCGGTTGATGCGTCTACGGATCATTAATTGTTTTTGTTTACTTTGTCCAGACTCGGCTTACAGAGATACACACGAGACGGAGAAAAAAGAACATAGAAAAGTTGGAAAACCAGTGAGTTTTGTAACGCACGAGTCGTCGTTGTACAGTTGAGAAGCGCATACGAGGCAGAGTTACGCGTGCAGAACATTCGTGCGATACTCACAACTTTGTCGAAGACGGGCGCATTGTCGTTGATATCTTCGATAGTGACCTTGAAGGTGCAAACGTCGTCAAGTTGCGGCCGACCATTGTCAGTGGCGAGGACCGTCAGGTAAACCTCCTTCTCGCGAGCAGGCTCGTCGCGATCGTGAGCGTGTGTCGTCCTTATTAGACCAGTCTGATTGTTGATGTCGAACTTGAGCTTCTCGCCGTTTGCCGTCACGAAGCTATACGTGATCGTTCCTACAATCGATACGCCTCTTTTTACTTCAATTATTCACCTGATTATACGCTCTGAGACAATTGCCCTCGTTTTGACTTGCATGTAGACACCTATGAAACGCTCATTGTCTTCATCCCAATTACGTACACGCGTGTATAACTCGCACAAAAATACAACACATTTCTTTTGGTTTATGAAATATTTATCAAATAAATGTCACGCTCTATTCACGACTTAGTACTCGGATTTTATCTGTTTTTAAAATAACAGTACGGACAAACCGACCACTGGATTAGTGAAGTTGCGAAAAAATTAAAAAACTCGGAATTTGTCGAAAATAATGAAATTCCAAAATTACGACATTTGCACAAGGAGCGAGATTACGCCTATGGGGGAATTGGATTCGCAAGAAGAATTGAAAAGCGAAAAGGTCATAAGTGAGTAAGCGTATCTGTACACTTTACCTCCTTCCTCGGATGGATCCCGATCCTCGGCTTGCACTTGGATAACGAACGTACCAGGCAACTCTTCCTCCTTCACCACGGGCGCATAGCGCGAACAGTTGGAAAAGACCGGCTTGTGATTGTGATTCTCGCTATTCCGCTGCTGCAGTTGCTTCTACAAACAGAAAAGAAAAGCCCGCTGGAGGTATTTCTTTTATTTTCTCGAAATACTTTGACGCCACTGCGAGCATCGAGCATTTCCAGATCCTCACCGACTATCTTTCTTGATTACATTTTAAATATAGCCGACTTACCAATACCTCCGGGTTCCGATACGACGACTTTGAATCTAAGTGCCTCGAGTGTCGGATTTTTGGTAGGTCAGCTGAAACAAAATAATTTCGTTTTGATTATTGCTGTACTGCTTCCGATATAAATAGGTTGGCGCTATATTCCCACCGAAATATTAATCACTGATTTAAATTTCTAGATCGGTCGACGACAACAATACAAACAAGCCATCGAAACGGCTCCGTCGCGCATTAGACTTCTGACAATCGTAATTGCCGACCAACTGCGAAGCAGCTCGATAGCCTATAGTAATTCACATCGTCATAGTCATCATCATCATCATCATCATTATGACCATCGTCATCGCGGACCATATCAAGCAATTTCCGGGTGTTCGGCTGTTGTAGTTGATGCGCGCTCTCTGCTGCATTGAGCATTATCAAAGTGGCGCTAATTACTCGAGTCGCTGCTCTACAAGCCCAAATATGCGCAGCGTCAGTGACACACTTGCGCCGACTAATTCGTACATTTATCCAGAATTATCCCAAGAGTGCAAGGCACACCGGCGCTTTATTAATAAAGGCTCGCTCGGACGCGCACTCGAGCGTTTTCAAAGCAATTTATTGCCAATGGGCCGAGCAAGAGATTTTCGAAACGGGCGATAAAACTCTCACTAGCGCGCGGTAGAGTGCATTCGCCTGGAATCAACGATCACCGGCAGTCAATAGTGACGCCGCAACGCATCGCGTGGGCGCCAAGCTCATCAATAGCCGCGCTGGTCCGTTAAAATAAACAAACGTGCTCGGCCTCCTGTCGAATTCGCTGCATTACACCTCCGACCGACTCTCGTTGCGTCAATCGATTGTCATTTTCATAAACGAATGCCCTATCTCAGTTTCGCCCGTTTGAATTATCGATCAACGGGAGAAAAGAGAAGCTCCAGTTTATAATTGGACTCGGCCTCCCTTTGCCCTCAATTTTACACTCTTGTGTACGTACAAAACATCAAGACTCATTTGCTCTTTGGTGCCATTAGTTGCTGCGACAAAAACAGCCTTTTCTCCCATTCTCTCTCCCTTGTAGTAGAAACACTCGATGACAGACGTTGCTCGCGCGCCGCGGTTGGATAATTACAGAACTGTCTTGCTGGCTTTGTCCTTTGTCGAATTGGCCTGAGAGAGCGAGAGGATTATTTTTCAAAAAAAAAAAAAAAAAAAAAAAATCAGCAAAAAAACGCGTCTCTGAAATACGCCGACCGGCGTTAATTGATTGGGTCGAATGTCTCGCGCGAATGTAAAGAAATCAGCGTGAGCTACGGCTGAAAATGCCAATTAGTCAAATACGTCTGCTATTCAATTCTAAAGGCAAGCTCACCGCGCGTTTCGCGTGGCTGCGACTGATTATTGCGAATATTGGAAACTGTAATTGTTCACATAAAAGAGAGGCTTAGAATCAGATGTGAATTTTGTCGATTAAACGCAGCTAAGTGTTAAGTGAAAAGTGACGAGAGGATTATTGGATTTTGGCCAAACTGCGCGTGGAAAGGGGAATGAAAAGTCGGAAGGCCATTCGCTTGCGACTCGTAGCCCGTGGCCATACGAGTCGTCGACACAACTTATTAGGAGCTTTCGGCAAATTTCATTTCGAGTCAGACGCTATTTGTCAGCCAAGAAACAGAGGTACGAAAATAGATTTAATCATTAGAGATAGACCTTAGACCTACGCTCGGCGGAACTAATATTCGAGCTGCCGGTATTGCCGGTATTGCCGGTATTTATTTTTCAAGCGGCAATCAGTGCGCGGCCAACGAAATTAACGGGTATAACGAAAAACGTCGGCGTCCGTTCGAAACATGCCCGACACGAGCACGCCGTGATGCAACAGCACGCGGGAGCCAATAATCAGCCAGGCGAAGCGACGAGAAGAGCGAGGCATAAATTATCCGAGGGACGGATCGAAAGAACTGGCGCGCGCGCGGACATCTGATAGTGCGAACGAGGCTTCGTGCTATTGGCTGTCCCCACGCGAGCGCAGGCAAAAAGAAGCGAACATGCGCGCATAAATCAAACTGCGCGCGGCCGCAAGCCCTCTGGTTGTCGTTATGCAGGAGCGCGCGCAAATAGCAAGTGCGCGGCACGGTAGGGAAGGCAATTTGGCTGCGCTGAGCAAGTGGCACGTGCGCCTCGTATCCCTTTCGACTGGAGCGCACACGGCTGGACAATGCGCCTGTATGCAAATGAAATCAATTCGGAGCCTACGATCGCGGAAATCGCGCGGCGCGCGCGCGCTTCGTGGAACGGCGTAAGACAAAGCGCAACTTTCGTTCGCGCCCGCAGCATCAGGGTCTCGCTGACTGCTCCTGTCCTCCCTTTCTCACCGTCAAAAAGAACAAAGCTTGCGCGCTCCCGCGACACAATTACAAAAGATGCGTACGTCGCAGCAGCCTTACAATGTTGACCCAACTTTACTGACGGACACTTGGCTTGAATTGCAAGAGAACAAAGTCGCCTCCGTCGCGAATATTTTCAATCGCTGAGATATTTTATTTGCAATACAGCGCTCTTCCAATTGTATGAGTCAAGAAAATAATTGAAAAACTAAGAGTCGACCTGTCCGGAATGCAGAGTGTAATATTACCAATCAATTGAATTGCCACAAAGTGCGCTAATTTTCATGAGTATACGGTCACCATAGACGACGCATAACGCACGAAGGTGCGTTTATTCGCGCCGAACTGAAAAGTCAAAGTAAAGATGCACGTAGAGCGAACGAGCCTCGGAGGCATGACCGTAATGCTGAAAAACTGTGGACTACGTGTGAACGGTGGCAAAACCTATTACTCGGCCCCGATGTCGCGTGTACAGAATATTTATGTGGCTCTGTTATTAGATTGCCTCGCAGTTTATTTCTTTCCGAGGTTACCGACTACCTGCGTTACACCTGAGCTAAACGAGGCCTTGATTTTTATAGCCATTTTCTACTTTCTGCCTTTTCTTTGTAGCGGTGAAAACTTGCAAAACATTGCTGCATTGCAGCATCTCCCGATTTACATGCAAATTATAAAATTACCGTGCATGCCAAACTTTGAGATTGGTTATACAAGCACGCATGATCGATGCGCGAGCAACGGCAGCGGGCATCGTTTATGGATGATCCGAAAACACGACGCATTGTTTGTTCTCGTTGATTCTCCGCATTTGCTCATATCGTTCAATTTGCCTATTCAATTATTTCAACGATATTCGTGTGCTGAACAAATAGCATTTCGTTATCGAGTTGATCGGCTTCAAGTATTTGTTTGACTCGCGGAGAAATGTTTGGAAGGAAACGACAAAACATGAATGAATCTTTTTCAGTTTAGCACTGGGATGTGCAAATAAAGCGGCGCTACAAAAGAGAGACAGAGAGACGGAGAGACAGAGAGACAGAGAGCTGCAAAGCCATTTTTCCGTGACCCTAAACGAGTTGAAAAGCGCACTTTTTCACAATAGATCACCGTTGATTTTTCATTTGAAGTTACAGCCGCGAGACAATATTGTTGTACGCAGGGGGCTGGTGAGAAACAAAAACGCTTCTGTCTCCGGGCCCCTCGGTTTGCGTGGCATCGCGTTATCTATCGGTTGTCCACTCTCGTACGCGATAAACTCCGATATTAATCGCGAGCGCCTGATAAACGCTTCTCTCATGGCTTTTTCGCTACGCTTGCGCATGGATTATTAACGCTACGCCATCGCTTTTGTAATTCCACTTTATTGCCCAAGTTTATACGAGCGAATTGCTCTACACCGTGTATTCTTTTATTGCAGCGAGCTCTACTTGAATAGTTGCTTGTTCAATTACTGTGTCGACGCAGTAAAAAAGTTCTTAAATTTTTTTCTCGCAAACAAATCCAACAATGGTTATTACCGTGGCCGACAGAGCTTTAATAAACCAAAAAACGTATCTATAGTCGGTGCATCGATAAACGAAACGCCACAGAGGACAACTGAAAACCTACCGAGATTCGTCGAATGCCAAGTGAAATGGGACGTTAAAGCGAGAAGAATAACTGATAGGAACAGTGCATCCACGCGTCACTTTTAAAAGCCAAAGTTGTTGGTGCGATAAGTATTCTTTTTACAATTTTGTCTGTTCTAAAGAACTCACGCGTGGATGACCCGCGAATATTTTAGATAAACCAACGTAATCACCTAAAAGGGCATCGCGACGAGCTACTTTTAAAGGACGCCTCATTAGCCTCGTTGCACGTCCGTACAATTTACATGCTGCTCTCTTGACAAAAGAGAGAGAAAACGAAATTAACAAAAGAGCTCTCTCTCTCTCTCTCTCTCTCTCTCTCTCTCTCTCTCTCTCTCTCTCTCTCTCTCTCTCTCTCTCTCTCTCTCTCTTCCAAGCCGACAGTTGTACGTATAAACATGCACGTGTGTGTGTGTAGAAGAGAGAATGGCTGCGGCGCTCTTGTTTCCCTCAATTATTTTCGATCGGTTGCGCGCCGAGTCTCCTCGCGTGATCGTGCACTCGTACAACTCACACATGCGCCTCGTTTTTCTACAGCGATCCACCTATACGTAGATGTAAGGCTTCGTACGACAAAAAAAAACAGCTTCTTTTCCTTCCCTTTCTATGTATACACGGCGCATCAACTCCCCCTTGTATTCGACTCTGAGTTATTGTGTCGCGACACATTTAAATACCGAGTGCTCCCTCAGTTTATTTAGATGCCCTTTTCCCCTCTACTCGCCTCAATTCCGAAAGCACTGCTGTTGCTTTTCTTTGATCAGCGCGCGGTATTCTTGCCCGGGCGCCAAATAACAAACGCAACGGTGGCCAATCCCCGACGGTTCAATTCAATCGATTGAATTGTTTTCCACTTTGCTCGGTGCGCTTTGAATGCACTCGTTATGCAAAGATGAATGTATTTTTAGTGCGACGTGTTTCGATCAATTTGTGAAGGCGATGCGTCACAGACGCGGCGTCATGACTAATCGCTCCTCGGAAGCGGAACAAATTTAACGCACCCGATACTCAAGAAGAAATTGATGGATCGTTTGAACGCGGTACATACGATGAGTGCGCCTTCGTAGCCACGGCATTTATATTTGTAGCTTCAAGATTTAATATCCGCAATGACGATTTCGAGTTATCTAAATAAAATATGCAATACCGGTATCTCATTCTCAAGGGATTACGGCTTCCAATTATTATTAATTAATATACTTTCAATCTTACTTGTCGTATCTATCAGATTAAATCTGGTCGATTGAATCGGCTAAATAACTAAAATATGCGACATGATAATTTTATAGCGTCACGGCTTCGTGATCAATGTAATTTTCGCCGATGTCGGGGCTACATTACGATGCTGTGATAATCGGTCTAACTGTGGCATTTTCTACGTATCAATTTTGATTCGACAAGGTGCTCGCTGCAAAATTCTTGCGAGTCGTGTGTGCTTATCTATTTCATACGCGAGAGGCGGGCAGGTGGGTGTAAAGGGATCGATGAGCGGGAGATTGTATTGGTGGAGCTTAAATAGGCAGCTCGTAATATTTACGAGAGCCTTGCGCGAGGCGAGGTAATAAGGTAGCTCGGTCGCGGTGCTTTGGCGTGATGGCACAAAGCCTATCGGAGAAAGAAACGAGTTGGGAATCGGACGCGACGAGAAAGCCGAGCACATGCACGTGTCACGGTAGCTCTATTACCGCGGAGGCTCTCGAGACCGAGCTCGTCCATTGACGACCGCCTGCCGCCAGTATGACGCATATTACCCCCTCGTCGGCGCCGACGATCTTTCATCCGACCACCGGCGCTATAGCCAATATTACAAGCCGATCCCTCTCCCTGCGCGTCTAATCCGCAAAAGCCCGCCCGATCGACGGGCCACCGAGCCAGCTGCCCGGCCCTTCCTTGCATCTTCCGTGTGAAAATTGTACTCACGCGACATGTTCCTGCTGAGGAAGGTCGATATGCCCGAACTCTGCACATTGCCTGAAACACACAAAGAGCAAGGTCGCATTTAGATGCCGTTGCGGACAAGAATTTTCAGTCTCGACGTTTATTCGCTCGCGCGGCCTGTAATCTCGGCGGCAAACTTCGGTTCGGGGTCAACTTTCAAAGGCTTCAGCCCTTACGGCCGCGGCGAGCGCTCGTTGCCGCTCACTTTCTCCGGCGAATGCGAATCGAAAGCTGCAAAAGTGGCGTCGTAGCGAGCGACGGCTCGCGCGCCCGATGAAAGTCTGCAGGGGGGACGCGAGCGCGACAAACGGCTACAGTGAACGCCAGTCTCGCGACGCTCTCTCTCTCTCTCTCTCGCGTCTGTCGGACGTTGTGCGCACACCAGGCATATTATTACGCAAAATAGCCGTCGCCGTGCGCGCCCGCGCCTTCCAAACGAACGCGACGACTGCTCGTCTGCCAAAGGCGCCTCGATGATGACAACGACGATCGAGCACGCAACTGTCTTCGTTATTTCAACGGTTAGCTTTCGCTTCGACGAGCTGTGTATGCCAATCGTCCGTCTGATCCAGCGATTGTACGAGCGCTTCAAGTTGAGACGAAAGGCTGGGCTAGAGGTAGGGAGCGAGGGTTCAAGCTCGAAACTTGTGGTGAATAGTAGCCCACCCCGTATGATATATACGCACGAAAACCAATCGGTAATGAGGGTTGCACGCGTGCATCGAACGTACAACAGAGACGATGAGTCAGAGCTCGAGAATTCATTTCATTGCCGGCGTGCGCAAGCGCTTCCTCCCTTCTCCCCCCCCCCCCTCCCCACCCGCTCTCGGACGCGCAGCAGCGAACAAGAGATGCCGAAAATACACGGCAACCAGAAGAGCATCCGCTCTGACGCTCGCACACCTGGCCAGCACAGCGCGACTACGAGGGAGACGGGCGGCGATAAGATTACCTTCCATGCGATGGAAAGTTTTTCCAACGCGGGCATATGATGCACAATCCATGTAAACTTTGGATTATCCCACACAGCTTTTACGGTACTCGCAGTTGCCCTGACAATAATTTTTCGCGCTCGGCAACCGTCAGTACTCACGACGAACGATGCACACACCCAAGCTTCAAGTGACTTGTCAACCAATCTTTTCGTATTTTTGCAGATTAACCGATTACGAATAAGGAGCAAGTATCTAACCTGATTTATGAAAAACCTTTGGTGCTTCCGCGCAGCTCCGGAACAGGTGCCCCAGTTCTATATATATAAACTTAAACACGGGATTTGCAATCGTTGATTGCTATTCAGATATTACGTTGACTTAAGCAAATATAGCTTTGTAATTAGTCCTTTGATCGATACTCCTCACGAGCGTGAATAGTCGTCCGCTGCAGTACTTGACAAAAATGGACAATGTCGCATAATTCAAATGAATAATTAAAGGCAGATAAAATTTTAGGTGGCTACAGCACTTCTCTTCTCTAGTGGATGATTGATAGTTCTTACTCTGATTTGCTCCTTGAGGAACGTTAAATGCTAAGTGGACAGGGAGTCGGCAAATCGTTTTTTAAAAAATGTTTGTAAAAATACACAAAGGCCGTTTAGCAAAGCATTGAAAATACGAACGGCGCGCCTCGAGCGCTACAGCAAAGAAAGAAGCAAATAAAAGTGAAGCATCGCACGGCAACCTACGCTACCGCGTTCCCCCCTAGGCTCGCAATATTCGGCGGTGCGCATCGAGAAGGGCAAGGTTACGCGCTTTGTATCAAAGCTCTTCCGGGGGGCAAAGCGGAGCAGAGCAGCACTCGAATCCCCTACGGCGGCATTTCACTGGCACGAGCGAAAATAGACGGAGAGCGAATATACGTCTTATTACTCATCGGCTTGAGGGCGTTGCTGCTGCCGTCGCCGCGCGCTTCTCCCTCGTATTTTTCGACGGACGGACTCCGATATCGCGGCTCCGAACGCGCACGCGACGTGCAACGAGCTTACGACGCGACGACGCACGCGGTCGACGAACCCGTCATTACGCGAGTGGATGTCTTGGTCAGCACGCGCCGCGCTACGATGACAAATAAAATGAACGCTCAATGGCCAAGACGTTCGGAGCAGCGGATTCATTATTATTGAGATGAAGATTTTCATTGAGCAAGCTTGTAAAATTGAACGGTTTCACTGATAAATATAGGCGATGGGCGCGGAGCTTGAAAATCGCGACCTCGTCGGTACTCAACGTCAATCGATTTACAGCTTTGTCCTGGTAGTTTGGAGCTTGATAATGAGAAGCGGAGTAGCTTGATTGATGTTGATCCATAGTACGAGGTATTATGTTTGCCGACGTGAATGGTAGGAAAGTGTGTAACAGGCATACCGCTCGAAAAATAATCATCGTTGTTGGAAGGACTCGCGTGCTCAAGCGACAAAGCAGCGCGAGAGTGCGATTACAGTTTTACGATCTCGAGTATACACCACTAATATACCTTCTATATATATATATATACAAGTGAGCTCGCTGAGAGTACTGCGCCGAAAGTCTGAACGACTTTAGCTTTGTTTGCTGCAATGTTTTCATATTTGAAAACTTTATCAACTGCCGGCGTACTACCGTATATTGACTCGAGAATATTCTTTCACGGCGACGGAATCGTGCACGATAGAAATGGCGATTCTGTTCGTTCTGTCCGTCTAAAATATAAAATATTCCATGAGATCTCAAAACGCGTCAAAGCTGCCAAAAGTCTCTGGTTTTACGAATAATCCTTTCGTAAAGGATCGATGAGCTGACAGTAAAGTTCTTCGTGGTCTCATGAAATTTTAAAAACCAGCGTATTATATAAATTGCACGTTACGTGCATCAATAGTAACAACCGTTGCAGTTCCAATGATCTCGAGTAAAAAAGGAAGAACAAATAGATGCATCTTCGAAATGCTGATATGCGTAACGATAATACAAATGCGCTTTTCTGGCACGTCGAGCGTAGGTAGAGTCTTTTATTTGCGACGCCTCCGTCTGTCTGAGAAAGTGCAAAGGCGTCGCTTAGATTAAAGATACGTCGGCAGACTGTATATGGCGACTATGTACTCCAAATTCGCGATGACCCGATTTTAGCGAAATTGCTTTCACTGAGTAAGTAACCCTGCAGTTTTTACGAGCACCTATTAATTACGTTAGCCCCGCAGCTGAAGCACACTAGCTCTTGATATTTTCAAGCGGGCGTATTATATATATCCAGCAGATTGTTCAATAAAAGTGAAATAAAATGAGCCCGAGCCGAGCAGTGCACGTCGTGCATTCTGCTGGCGTGGATTAACCGTCGAGCGGCCGTTCGCGTTCACATACACGTTATATTAGGCCTTCGTCAGACATAGTGCTTTCTACGAACGTCTGTCAGTGTTGATCAAGCCGACCGTGAGCAGTACTGGGTGATAGGGGTAGAAAAGATATGGGCTCGAGTGTGCGCGCGCCTGCCAAAGTAGCCGCGTGCACACACGCAGCACACGTGACGTGCGCATAGAAATACAACAAGTGGCCGCCGATCTAGTAGCCATATGCGCAGTTGATTTTGCTTTCCGCTGGGCGACTGTAGCTGCGCTACGTGCAGCTGGCTTAAAACAAAAAGAATTAAACGCTAAGCCCAAGAGGTAAATTGGCCGTGGCACGTTCCTGGCGCGTGAATCGAATTAGAGTAGCTGCAATTCAATTAGCCGAGAAAAATTCGGCTCTCTGTAAAAGCAACCGAGATAAAAGGCATTTCGCGTGGGTGCGGCGCGCGTTTTATTATTTTTTTTTTCTTTCTTTACCCAATCGATCACAACAGCTAGTACTCTTTCCGTTGTTGTTATACGCACAAAAGCCGCGGCCCTACGAGTTTCGTACGCAGGCTCGTGTTTTTTGCCTTTGTGCGTAAGAATACGCGAAAATTGTTACTTTCTAACGTTAAGATAAAACAATTATTTCAAAACTCTAATCTCTTCACGACTGATGTTTTCAGAATACTAGAAAGTTATTTAGTCATCCAAATTCATTTGCATAATTATAATATAACTTTGAAAGAAATTTGGCTGTCAAAGAGCATTTTTCGTTGAAAAAAAATTGCTATTAAAAATTATATTACTGAATAATTTGGTGTTATTTTTGAAAAACGATTCGGTGATTTACGGCATCATTCATTTGGAAAAAAGGACGTTCGAAGAAAAATCGTGAAAAAAGACTTGGGTTCTTTTTTACGAGTTTTTCCAAAACTCATACACATGGCCATTTTGTTTGAGATCTGGTTTTCGTTTGGGAGGGAAAATGAGCGTAATCGCATTAGCAACCGCGAGAAAACTAGAACTAACGCGGCGACTAACGCGACGCGAGACGAGAAAATCGTTCCTTTTTTCCAAAAGATTGCCGGCAGTCCCGGCAATTGGATTGGAATAATTGATTAACCACTTGGCTTAATGAGTCGTCAGTGGTAGTTTGCGGACACGAGAGAAAGAGAACAAGAGCCGTTAAGTTTGGTTACATTGGCTGCGCGAGCTAAAAGTGCCTCTCGGAGACTCGTCTCGTCAGAGCGCGCGCGCGGTGAGCAAGCGAGTAAAGCGAGTAAGAGTACACAGCAGCAGCAATCTCCATTACTTGGAGCTCGTTTACGAGCGCGAGTCGCTCTGGAAAGTGGCGCAGCATCACTTCCTTGGCAGCCGAGCCGGACCTTTTCCTTCCTCGCCGTCTCTTCCCTAACGCGAATTCCAAGCGCCGAATCTCGGCTTGGCAGGCGCCAGCCATGACTCAACGCATTAATCACGGAATTTCATTTCCCATTGAGTAACAGTCATCCGATAATAAGTGAGATCACTCGATGAGTATGTTTTTTCTCGGTTGCAGCTCTGACGAAACCGCGAAGCGCCACATCCCGATGGCTCCAAATGCAATGGAACCAGAACAGCGCGCGCGTCCTTTATTAGGAAACGTCACGAGAAAGATGGGCGTTAGTCGGAGAGCATAGGACGCGAAAGAGAAAAAGGGAGAGGAATTCAAGCTACGTTCGGCTATACAGCT